TGCAGAGGATACTGAGGCATTCTTTTATGCATTTTTCAAAGCATTTCCTTTTGGGGAAGATTTTTTAGCCAAGCGGTTTAATGCAACTTTTGGGAGACGTGGAACATTCGGGTGTGAATGACCGCCCAGTGGCTATTGGCTGTTAGCTGTTGCCATGGTAACGGTGTAAATGAAAGACGTATTGATTTATTTATATATTTTGGGATCGACTACTGAGTTGGAAACTGTGTTTCCTTGAGAAAGGAATGAGAGGCGAGTGGAGACCGTTTAAGTTATTACTGGCCGACCCGGTCAAAAGCTTATTTTTGATAATCTGTGGTTGCGACCCTTAACTGTAATTTGGTGAAAATGCATTAACAAACATCCACAAATGAGCACCGTTTTGTAATTGCTTAAAACACTCACCTATTTGGTTGAAAAGCAAAATAGTACACATTATTTCTGGAATTAATGAATTCATTGGATGGTTTAGATTCCAAGAAGCCTATTTGTGTCCCGTATGAAACGCAAAGATAAACATGGGCTTGGAAATGTTGTTATTGAACAAATCCCCTGGTTTGCAGAAATGTCAAATCCCAACTTTCATCTTGCTACTTGGTTGCCTCTTAACCTAACGTGTCAATCTCTTGCGGGTGAAATGGCACTTTCCTGAGTCATGAATTCCCTTCCCAGTTCTTTTATTTTTATTCATGCAGGGAATGTTGTTTGCCTCACGCTTAGTTCTGTGCGGTTAAGAGTAATGTCTGACTTGCAGCAGCTGAAATGATCAAAATGCACTTACTGTGACAGTGTCAGCGCATGAATCATAAAGGTCAGCGAGCTGAAAGCTCTGACTTTTGCCTGAACGTTGAGTTATGTTTTCAAACTGCACAATTCGGAGTGTAAAAATGTCTTTGTTTCATACTTTTATTTGAGGGAACCGGGTCTTGTGTGCTGTACATTTGCGGTTAAAATCATTCATATCTTTACTTCAGTAATAGATATGCCCCACCTCATCCTTTTTCATTTAAAGTGTAAATCCACTCGGATGAGATATAACTTTGTGTAGTTAAGACCTGGTTTTAATTTATTTTAAATCTATTTCCACAACCAGATACTGCAGATTTGCTTGTCAAAGTTTGGAAAGAATCAATGTAAAGAGCTCAGAGACCTTCAAAGCGTCACAAGCTACTGGTATGATATGGGTAGGTACGCTCAGGTGCCCGTTTTTTTCCTATGTGAGGTCAGAACATCTCCCCCACAGCTTCACTTCCTCGGATGAGAGAAGAAAAGAAGAAAAAAATGAAAAAAAAGCTCCCCGCGGGGGAAACCGAAAGTGAGAAGAGCGCTTTGCCTCCTCTCCAAGGTCGAACAGCTGCCACGTCCAATGAGAATCCTCAGCCCATGAGTCATCAAAACACAGAGTCACTTCCCAAGCAATTTGTTTAACATGTATGATAACGTCAGAGCTAAAACACAAAGCCGTACGTCAAAGCCTCTGGGAGGCTTTACAGTTAGTCATGCGAGATGTGCCCCCGAAAACCTGTTAACTCACGGATCTGCGACAGAGTTTCTCCTCTGCCCTTGTGGCTGTCTGTTTGTGTTTACTGCTGTGCACAAACCCGCAGCTTCATCAGGGGTGATATGGAAAGGACAGCGTGTCATGAGGGGCCGAGCAGCACGGTGCCGCATTGTTTTACAGGCTGGATGACTCATGGAAGACGAATCCCGGTTGGTGGCGTTGCCGTTGCATTAGAACAGCGCTGTTTAAATCAACAGTGGGATTATGACAAGGTCCCATGATGCCTGTTTTAGCAGGTCAAACAAGCAATTCATTAAGGCAGGATGTAACCTAATTACCCGAGAGACTCAACAGTTGCATGCTGCGGTTTGTTTTTGAAGAAGATTGCCTCCTCTGTGCTGTCTTTTGTCAACCGTACTCACGAAAAATTGAATTTTTTCAAAGCATCGAGCCGTGTTTGTAGCAGCCCGTTCTCGGCGTGAGTGCAGCATCGCTGCTACTATTTAAAGTCATTTCTATACGACTCACCAAAGAAATTCAAAAGCTCATACATCATCAAAAGAGCAGACAGCTAATTCTACTCTGCTTTAGTCATGGCTGAATTACTTCTCGTGCAATATGGCCATTTTTACGCCTCAATTATTTGTCCCTTTGGACGATGTCTGGAAATTCAAATGAGGCGCTTGACATTGTGTAGATTTGAACAGAGAACGTGGTCAAGAATATGTCAACAACCGCCAACACTTCACACCTCCCACCATCTCATTCAGGTTTTAGCACATTTCAAAATGATGCTGCTCAGTAGGATTCAGCTTTCTTTGAGTGGCCGCCTTTGATTGTCTTTTCTTTTTGTCCGCTTGTACCGATAAAAGCTAAAATACACAAGATTGCCCACATACAATAGGGGCAGCTATGAATGCATTAATTTAGGTTTTTGACTTTCAGCGCCTCCGTTCATCCCGTATGCAAACGTCAAGTGTGTGCAGGTGACAGACATAATCCCTCCTCCCCCCCCCGTTCTCCCTTTCTCTTTATTTCATCCTCTGTGTCTCTTTGTGTCTCTCTCTCTCTCTCTCTCTCTGACCACCCTCACACACACACACACACACACACACACACACACTGCCAACGTGAGATAGCCACGTCTGTGTGTCCAGTGCAGTGTGTCATGTGTGATAATGCGTGACGTGGCCGTCACGTGCCGGCGGTTTTAGGGTTCCACTTGAGGCTACTTATTGTTATCGTTTTTTAGCCATCATCATTATCAGCTGGAGCAGACGCGCCGGGTCCCTCTGCGTCATTGTTACCTCCAAAAAAACAAAAAAACGAAAGCTCCAGCCGCCAAACGTAACCAACAAAGGAGGGAAGAGAAACACATCGAAAATAACTCCGGCGTCCCTCCCATCATCCATTCTCTCATCCGTGGCCTCCATGCACCCCCCCCCCCCATTTCCCTCCCTCCCTTCCCGGAGCCTCTCCACTGTCTTGCTGGGGGTTTATTTATTTTTTTCCATCTCTATCAAACGTTCACTTCTTTTGTCTCACGTGCTCCTTCTTATTCCATCGCAATCAATCTGTCTGCGTGACACACCGTGCCCTCATCCAGTCCCTCTGGGCGCCCATTATCTAAAACACACATCTCCTCATCTTTCTCTCAATCCCCCTTCGTCGCAGTCAGGGGGGGAAAAGCCACAATCCTGCATATACAGATAAATGCACGCTTCGGCGCACACAAAGACACCGGGCTTGCAAATGGTTCTCACCCCTTCCCAAAACCTTCTTCCACGCGTTCACCCCCCGCCCCCACCAGCACTTTCTACTCTATCACCGCACACACACACACATACATCCTAATCCTAATCACACCACCACCACCGTCATCCACCCCTTATCTCACTCCACCAAATCTGAGCTGTGACTCAAAACAATTTCCTCTCATTTGCGATTTTGATTGCCCACCCCCGCCTCCTACACCTCCATCAAAACCACCTACCCCCCCCGCCCCCTCCCCGCCCCCACCAGTAAGCCCTCTCTCCACCTCCTCAATGCCCCATCTCTACCCATCAGGCAGCAGAACCCCACCCAAAACGCACGTGCACACCGACGCCAACGCATACAAATGCACTTGCGTACACACACTGTGATCCGGGCGCCATTGAGAATGACGGCTCACGGCGAACACGTGGCGACTTGCCACTGTCATCCAGTGGAGCCCGAGAAGAACTGCAGTGTGACGTCACAGCGGACGACGGCGCCGCTGGTTGGTGGAATACAATTACGTGTGTGTGTGTGTGTGTGTGATTCTATGCGTGTAGTTGGGATGGCGGAGGGTGGGTGGGCCCGGTGGGCCTTGCTGCATCACTGAACCAGGAAAATGAATGAGAGCCTACACTAGGTGTCACCGCTTTCCTCTCCCGCTGGCCGCCGCTAATTTCCCTTTTTTTCTGCTTTTCTCGTCTCTCTTTTGGCCCCGAAAGCCGGGAAAACAGTTGAAAGTGCAAAGATTAACCGAGTGTTTGACACCATGTTCGACATTATGTCGCAGGGGTGCTTGATGGCTCAAAAAACACCTGAGAGACAAACTAACGTTCATAGCATTGGATTGAATGGATTACAAATCCATTCAAAGTTCGGAAAAGCAGCTGGACGTGCCAGATATTTAAATCTCAACGAGAGCAAAGCGGCTCGACCCGATGGGAGGTTCTCTAAGAGTAACACCTCGCTGAGAGGTGTCACTATGGGAGGAAGAACATGATGAATTACTTCCCTTAACTAACCCGATTTCCTTTTGGCCAATCGGGGATTGAGAAAACAAGCTGTGAGCTGTGAACATCACATTAACAAATCACTTTTTAAGTTGAAATGTCAAAATTGTGAGTAAACATTTGCGTACTCTGCAGTTGATGAGAAATAGGAGTCACGTTTGTCACCACCTGGCAAATATTCACACTTAATCAAAATTTAAAATATATCTACTTTTTAATTGCTTATTGCTCCTTGATGTTCATAAGTTAGTTGCTAACGCTGTCTGGCTGTTTGTGGAAGGAAGGTTCTTCACCTCAATGTCCTGAGTTAAAAAGGGTAAAGCCCCATTACATAAGTGTGTTTACTTATAGGCATGCATTTCTACACCTTGACTGAAAACAAGTTAGCATTTTTTTACTTTGGGTAAAACTGTGACAATCTGTGACGCAGCGGAAAAGAAAAAGAGAAAGAGAAAAAAAACAAATTCATTTTGTCACCATTTTAAAGGGAGGGCACGTCTTGTTGGTGGGCCGGGCTGGAGGGATCTGACTTGTAGCGATGCCCCAGCATGTATTTTGTATTTGCCCTCTCTCAAAGACAGAGATTAGGGTGCACGGACATTAACTTGGTAATTGATTACTACCCAGGTAATTGGTTATTGATTGCTCTCAGCCTTTTTGTCTGTGTCCGGGGGAAATAATGGAATTGTACGATTATTTAGTTTGGTATTGAAGACTGCCAAATCTCATTTCAGAATGGAAGATTTAGCTTCAATAGACGCAGGTGGAGGAGTAAATGGACACCCGACAATAGACAAATCGTCTTCTGCTGCTGCTCACACTGTTGGGTCACACTGCAGATCCTGCTTGAGAAGCATTAAGCTCTGGATACCTGTGGACTATAAGAACGAAACCATCCAGCTTTTCAAACTAGCGGGACCTGTGGTAAGGCTGGTAGAGGAACATCTATGTTGTTGAGGCTGATGGGACTGTACATATCTATATTTAGACTAGTTTAATGTGTAGTGAACTTATTGCCATGATACAAGTGAATTTGTCTGATGCGATAAAAAAGCCTAAATTGCTTTACTTTTAACATGAGGATTGTGGTGTACCTTTAATTACTTTCAAATCGACACCTACTTTCTTATAACAGTAATTAACCGGATAATAAATCCAAACCACTGGGATTAATTAGAAAAAGAACAGCGATAGTGATAAAAGTGTGGCAGTATTTTAACTGAAGAGATTAGATCCTTTCCCCTCGCCCTAATAAACTGCTTTAGGGTGTCACTAGCTCAGGTAACAGACAAAGAAAGTGTGATATGTTGGTGGTTAGAAACTGAAAAACGCTACATTGTCCAGAGTAACACTTTAATCCCTTAAAATGTATCATATAATATATATATTACATTACATGTCATTTGACTGACGCTTTTATCCAAAGCGACTTACAATAAGTGCATTCGACCATAAGGATACAAACTCAGAGGAACATCTACAGATAGCATCTACAGATGTATGTTCAATAGTCAATATACCATAGAAATAAGGTGCATTTGCTGTATCTAACTGTGGGAGGAGAAATAGTTCAGCATGTATCCGCTGTTTCGACTCCCATTGCACAAAACCAAAGCTTGATAGATGAGAACATTTAGTCTCCTTTTGTGCAAACCATTTGGGTGCCAAAGGCTGTCAGAAACCTACACCAGCAATCAGTAAAACTATTTTCTGGAGAAAAAAGGAAAGGAAGTAACGACGCTTACAAATACAAAAGAGCTGCTGCAAAACCAAAGTATAACACATGTCAGCTGCCAGTGCAAAAAGGCCCTTTCTCATATGTCAAGGCCTTTTTTTTCAAGAGTTACGTTCATATTTGGTGACGTTCATTCATGCTTTTATTGTTGCGAAAATGTGGGATCATTATCTTGTTTCTCAGTTCATTTCACAGGTGATGAGCTTCCTGATCGGCTTCGTCAGCATGGTGTTCTGCGGCCACCTGGGGAAAACGGAGCTGGCGGGGGTGGCGTTAGCGAATGCGGTAAATGATCTCAGAGCAGTTTAGTTTCAGCTTTTTTTAGGGCCCTTCTGCACCAAGGCAACATTGTTCATCATTGCATTTTGTTTTCACCTCTTATTTTTCATCTACGCTTTCTGGACTGTTGTGTATTTTACTCTAATTTGATTACAGGTAATAAACGTCACAGGCATTTCCATTGGCAGTGGATTGGCGTCAGCGTGTGATACTCTCATTTCTCAGGTATTCAGCTGATGATATTTATAAAACCTGGTCAGTTCTTGTCAGTTATTACTGTGATCACACTGTGCTCTTCCAGATTGGTTTTCCTTTGAAAATTTTTTTCTTTCACATGGGTAGGTGTTATTTTAGTTTCCACTTTTTTCTGACCACCTACTTCCAGACTTATGGGAGTGGTAACCGAAAGCGCGTGGGAGTGATACTCCAAAGAGGGGTTTTGATTCTGCTTCTGGCCTGTTTCCCCTGCTGGGCCGTCCTCATTAACACTCAGCCCATTCTGCTGGCTGTCAGACAGAGCGCAGAGGTCGCCAGGTGAACCCTCTTCATTTCAAAATCTGTGCATCCCATCTATGCCACAGCACAACCTGCCATCAAATGCTGCACCTACACGAATCACTAAGCATCAGGTTTATTCAGCATGATTCTTTTGGGACGTATTCACCATTTCCCGTATTTTCTCATCTACCATAAAGACTCTCCCAGCTGTATGTGAAAATCTTTATGCCGGCTCTGCCAGTGAGTTGTAAATCTATTTTGCATCTTTTGTTGCATTATTGATCTAATTAACTCAATTCATCGCCTTTTGTTGGATTCCGCAGGCTGCCTTCATGTACCAGCTGCAGGGGAGGTATCTTCAGAATCAGGTGTGGTTAATGACTGCAAGACCACTGGTGTGAAACTAAATATCTGTACAAGTTGGTCTGTAATGACATTATTTTGTATGTTAGGAAGAACGTGTGCTGTGAGACGGAAACTACCAGCAGGTGTGCCGATGTGGTGAGACGGCAAACTTATTTTAACGGCTCGTTCTGTCTTGCAGGGCATTGTGTGGCCCACGGTGGTATCTGGAGCCGCGGGGAACATTTTAAATGTAATAATCAACTACATCTTACTCACCCATCTGGATCTGGGGGTTGCGTAAGTCCATCAACGATATCCATTATAGTGTACAGATTAGTAATCATCTTTAGTATTTCAAACCAGTCATAGTATTAATCAGAATTAGGATTTAGCATGTTCACTAGTCGTGGAGGCTTTATTTGAGGACTTCTTTACAGGAAATAATTATTATTATTTATAATTATTTTATAAATAATAAATTATCTGTCTACCATTTTGTTGTCTTGATGAACATAAGTGGATCTGCCGCTGCAAATGCCATCTCCCAGTATTCCTTAGCTGTGGTCTTGTTTGTGCACATCTGTTCCAGAGGACTGCACAAAGCTACATGGGACGGTAAGTTTGCCAAATGAATCTTTAGAGGTAGAGTTTTATTTGACTGTTACTTCCTTTCGATTTGTTGTTTTTTGGGGTTTGATTTGTTTGTAACTTCGATTTGTTTTATTTTCTATTTTACTCTTAACTGGACCATAATGAATGTAATCTGCATTAAAGAGGACTTGCCCGCTGATATGTGTTTTTATTAAATGCCTAATATTGGCTTTCAAGACTCATTCGTGCTTCAGAAACCTGAACAAAACATATAAGTATTCTACATATGGCACAGAGTTTATTCTTCTTACTTCTTACAACAGAAAAATCCTGTTGTTTTTTTGTCAAGGGATTTTGTGTGATGCTAATTTCCTGGGTAGGCCTGTGAAGAACAAGTCGGCCCTGCACCTCTTATTACAATTTGATTTCTTTTTACAATGAGGCGACCTCTAATGGTCATTAGAAACAATGCAAATTCAGGGCACTTCCACATTGTCTTCATTTTTCAGAACTGGAGGTTTCCGCCCGTATCTATCATGCACTTACAAAAAGACTCTAGTCTGTACATTACCTTTACAATTATTTGGAATTATTTTTGTGGTCGAAGACTAGCAGATGGAAGGCAGGAAGGGGGGTCAGAGATGCGCTGAGCTGTGTTATCCCTTGAGCCCCCAAACAAGCCAGGGACCATTTAAGCGTGGGGAGGCCAGTAAAACAAGTTTTAAAAAAGGTGAGAGTATGAATCACTGCAGCCATAGCAGGTCCTTAAGCAGAAAGCCATCTGCTGGTTCACAACTGCATTTAGCAATCTGAACCCTCAAAGTCAGAAACCCCCCCAAAAAAGACCCATATTTACCACATATCAGCATTTTTAACACTATATCGTGCAAGTGCAACTAGACAAAAAAAAATGATAATTCAGGCTTCACCTGTGTATGTTATTAAACCAGGCCAGTGCTCTTGCTGGGGACATTAAGGTCCATTATAAATATGTGCCGAGAATCAACGTCTAACGCCTACACAATGATTTTTATGTAATTGCTTATAGTGGAAGGAGGTTAACAGAGATACATTTTTGTTCTGCTTTTAGACCTGCTTCATTAGCCTTCTATGTGATTGCAATGAACAAGCAATGGACGTGTGTGATCGCTTCAAACAATCACATACATTTAATTATTATCAGTGTTATCGGCGGGTTTGCACGGTTCCCTTTACATAGTTTATTTTAATCGTTAAAGTACCTTCATAAGTAACCATGAACAACCTTTTGTAAACATATTTATTTGAGGCAATTTTAAGGCGAAAAAGAGACAACAGAGCCTACGCTCCAAATGGTAGACATGACAATGTCTCACAGTTCTTCTGTGAAATGGCAGCATAACTCGTCTACGGAGTGTGGGACATTTCATTGAATCCATCGCACCTCCCATCATCTCCTAGGTTGGTCAAGAGACTGCCTGCAGGAGTGGGGTCCTTTTCTCCGTCTGGCCATTCCCAGCATGCTGATGCTTTGTCTGGAGTGGTGGCTGTACGAGATTGCAGGGTTCCTGGCAGGCGTCATCAGCGAGGTTGAGCTGGGAGCTCAGTCCATAATTTATGAAATGGCTGCTATCGCTTACATGGTAACTTCTGTATGACCCTATATAACCTTTGTCTGGTATATTTTGGATTAATGCAATGATATAAAATAATGTGTGTTTGTATAAAGCTTGTGTGGATACCTGACTGGTTTGATGGCCCCATTTTTTCTTTCATCCTGTCAACCACAGTTCCCGATGGGTTTCTCGTTGGCTGCCAGTGTTCACGTTGGAAATGCTCTTGGGGCCGGAAACACAGAGCAAGCCAAGCTATCCAGCAAGGTCTCCATCATCTGCGCATGTATGGATAAAACAAATCAAAGTCATTTCCCATGTTTGTCCATTTGAATTCATTTTTCTTTCTGTTTTCTTGAGTCAGTCTAATGCCCAAGGTGCTTTTATCTATATCTAACCCTTATCCAATGGCATGCTGTCTTTCTTATACCTCATCCAGTCACTGTGTCATGTTTCATCGGAGCGTGCCTTATTGTGTCTAAGGATGTGGTTGGTTACATTTTCACTACAGAGAAGTAAGTACATAATGTGGTTTGTGTTTTTTTTTTAAATCTCAGAATCAATAACTAACAGGCAGAACCTCACACAGAGAGCTGCATTAATTAAGTGTACCGGTAATTAGTCATGTAGTAATTCCGGAAAACACAGACCCTTGACAGCAAAGTGAGCTTGGACTTTGCATGTCACTACCTGGGAGGTGAATGAGCTTTGTGCTTTGTGCTTATCGGTCTACATTTTTTGTTTTTATATCTGTATCTGCATTTTGCTTTTAGAGACATTATTCAGAGAGTGGCGGATGTCATGAAGATTTACGCTTTCATTCACGTTGCGGAGGCCTTTGCGGTGAGGGCCTTTGCCACAAAAGTCCCCCGATCTCTCTGCTGGGTAAAATAAACCCGACCAGTTTGCAGAGATTTTAGATTTCTCTTTGCTTGACCCCCACAGTGTGTGACCGGCGGGATCGTCAGAGGGGCGGGGAAACAAGTGGTTGGTGCTATGTGCAACTTGGTGTGTTTCTACTTCATCGGGTTCCCCATCGGTGTGTCTTTAATGTTCCCTGTCAAAATGGGCATCATAGGTGAGGACAGATTCAATGTTCATGCAATGAGTGACATCATCATATTTCAACTCAAACTAACAGACGTTTGTGTTACAGGACTGTGGTCGGGGTTTTTACTTTGTGCTTCGCTACAGTCCGTTTTCTTTATAGTTTTCCTGTGTAAATTGAACTGGATAAAAACCACAGAAGAGGTGAGTCCCATTCTGTTCACAATTCACATATTCTGTGCCACTGCTATTGTCGATACAAACTATGTTCGACTTAAGCTGGTTGGTTGGATACTAACATTTTAGCCAGTTTTTTTGTGATTTAGTTTTTGTTTTAAATCTCTGAATAGGCGGTATTCAGAGCAGGAATCCGCATTACAGAGGGAAACAAGATATTCGGGATAGAAAACAAAGGTTAACACAAGTTACTAGTTATTTTGCATTGGGCTACATATGGACATCTTCTTTCTGGGAGCGATTGCAATCACTAAGCATCTGTTTAAACCCCAACAGCCCCGGATGATGCAAACCGCCTCGGAAAGACCAGTCGATGTAATTCTTCGAGTTCGGCGAAGGGCAAAGTAATGGAAGTGCTCGAAGCAGGTCAGCAGACTTCCGATGACGTGGCTCTGTCAGTCAGGCAGCTGGTGGTACGACGCGGCCTCGCTGTGCTGCTCATGTTCATCATCCTCGCTGCTGGAGTGTGCATCAGCGAGCTGCTCATCAGAATGCTCGAATAAGACAAGTGACCATGAACTGTGTGTGCGTGCAGCACGGAAGCAAGCTGTGTGAGTCTGCCTTTGTAATGGCAAACTTCCCTACTCACACGTTTACAAAACATCGGACCATTTTTTATACATTAGTAATGGCAAAATGCATCATATAACAATGACACAAGTATCAAGTGTCTCATAACTGCATTGAATAAGTGGAATTATTGCACCCTTTTGAAAAGTTCCATCCATGTTGATAATTCCTTAACTTCCTGAGAGGATTTGTCTTTAAAATGGAATTTAGTCATTGTAATAGTGATTCTTGCTCAAATCTAAAATAAATACGTCAATCCACGTCACTTTTGCATTTCTTAATATTGACATATTCAGGGAAGTATTAATAGGAAACACAATTTATATGATACAAAATACTGTATGAGGAAGTCTCCTGTATATAGAAACCTGGCGTGTAAGATGCTTTCCAATCAAGACTCTGACGAAATGTTCTCATTATAAAATATTTAGTCTGAATGGATGCCACAATTAGAAGGAGCATGATTATATGCTATTTTAAGGCTGCAGCGCATCCGTGGATGTATGCTTTCATCATCAAAGACAGAAAAGATGCTATTTCTTTTTTGGTGTAATTTTTTTCCTATCCTTTGATCTGTGTTGTCAAATTTGAAGATAATGAAAGGTGTGTACACTTACACACTGTGACGTGCTGGCCGGATGAGGACATGTCAAACTGAGTAAACCAACCAAGAGCAGTTAACAACCAGCTCCGAGCTCAACCTGGTTCAAAGCAATCTGTTAAGCAGGTTTTCTGAGATACCTATAAGCATTGCCTCATCAGTTTGGGAAATCAAACATTGGCGTTTGTTGGATAAGGGATTAGACTATACCTCTGCATGCTTAGGCCTTTTGTTTATTTCTTTTATATCCTGGCGTTCACTCCTCAAAACACACTGTTCACTCCTAATTTCCTTAATGCCAATGGTTAAACCAGCGGTTCTCATCTACTGGTCACATCCATTCGATAGCCACTGTCTACTTTTTAAATGAGATTGTTGTTGATAACCACGCCCCTGCACCTCCTTATCAACGCCCAGTTTTTGCAGTGTCATCAGCCTCCTCCGCCTTCCACTCTCAACAATCATCAGTCTGGACTGCACATGGAAGATTTATGTTGCCGCTGCTCAGCGCCGGCGTCCCTCGATTACAAATCTGCCAGCAAAGTTTAAGCATCAAAGGCCTTCTATCAAGACATTATCATCACACATCATCTGTTGTAATATACAATTATCTTTCCTTTATTCACTCATCCCTCCTGATTGAAAGGCTTATTCGATTTAAATGAGATGATTGATACCTCTCATATTCATGAATTATAAGACAACAGCCTGAGCCAGTTAGCTTAGCACAAAGGCGGGAAGAGAGGAGGAGCCTGGCTTTTACTAAAGGTTACAACATTCACCTGCCTCAAAGCTCACTGATTTAATTCATCCGTACTAGTAGAGTAACCATCTGCAGGCTCTACGCCTGAAATCAAATAAACTTTAACTTTAACAACAAGACAGCTTGAGACCATGTTGTCAAACCTGGTTTGTATAAGACAACGGACAGTATGATGCTTCTCCTGTTCTCAGATTAAAGGAGTCTGTCCAAAAAATAACCTTTATCTCTTTAATTACATACATATTTGGTAGATACACTAACAGTACATTTACATAGTCTTACTTTACAGAGAAATGTTCCTGAATGTGTATTCATTCCAAGTGTATTGCAGTAGGGCCACAGTCAGGCCCCCTTTAAGGGATTGAGGGACCTCTGAGGTTTTCATAAAAGTCTCCCCTCTCACCTGTACGAGGTCAGTACACAGTGCACAGTGCACTCTCCAAACTGACATCAGCAATGGCTTACAATAGGTTGACGTTTGCAGCATTTTGATGAAAAACATTTGTATCAGTTTATCATTATTCAACATGTAAATCAGACTTGATTCATACATTGTCCCGCCTGAGCTTCAGTCAAGCTCATCAGCGCCGACATTGTCACAGGCTCCTCGCAGAGACTGTAATCTCGGCCCTGCTCACCTCCAGATTCTGCAATCAGTGACACGCTGGGGCATCATTAACAAGAGACTGTGTAAAGATTTGCTGCCATTGTTAAACAAGAACTTGTGAAAATGACTTGAGAACTCTTATATTAACAACCTGGTTGTGTGGAGCATATGCAGCACAATAATGTACCTGAAAAGTTAGTTAAATGCTTAAATTAAATATTTCAACAAAAAAAAATGAAAACTGCTAAGGTAATTCCGATTTTTAAAGAAGGTGAAAAAAACCTTTACAATAACTACAGACCAGTCTCCCTGCTTTCCCAATTTTCCAAAATTTTAGAAAAAATATTTGCTACAAGGATGGACAGTTTCATAGATAAACATGGATTATTCATAGATAGTCAATATGTGTCACAGGCAGACGCTCCCCGTCCCCGGAATATTGAGGTGCGAAGATCGGGACCTCAGTCACCCCTCTGTTTTGAGCCATAATGGTTTGTGCCATCTGGGATCAGCCCACCGACTCACCTGGGGCTCGTCACTAATCAGAGCCAGCCCTGTACTTAAGCCTGTGACTCCCCAAAGCTCCTTGCGAAGTCTTGTGCATGTTCCATCACATTCCGAGCGTTTTCCCGATCTCCTGTTCTTGCCTGTTATTGACCTCTCGTTTGTCCCAGACCTCGTTCCTGCCTGCCTGATCCTCAACGGTACTTCTGTCTAACTCCACGTAATCCCGGCTTTCGACCACCCGCCTGTACTCCGGATACGACCACGCCTGACCCCCTGACGGTGCCTCTGTTTATCCCCGCTCTCCTGGCTTTCGACCCTCTGCCCGCCTACTGGACTCGACCACGCCTAACCCTTGTCTGTACTTCCACAATAAAGCTGCGCTCTGCGCTTGGGTTTCACTCCTGTCTCTTGTGATGCGTTACAGAAGACTTCGCCTTCAATCAGACCCAGCAGAGTCGCAGAGTCCCTTCAGTCCTTGGAGATGTCCGACCCGGACCAGCGGGCTGTAGGAGGCCCCAGCATGGCACATATCGTCAAACATCTTGCCGCGGTCCAAGCAGAGCACGGTCAACGACTGGGTCGAGTCGGGGAGTCCGTGCACAACTTAGCAGCAGCGCTCCAGGATTTCCAGCAGTACACAGTACATACGGCTGTTCAGGCGCTCGCCGCTACTGCCCCTGTCGAGGCTCCCTCTACCAGAGGAACCCTCGCACCAGCGTTACCACAGTCAGCACTTCATCTAGCGCCACCTCAGCGATATGATGGTAGTCCCGAACTCTGCAGAGGTTTCCTGACGCAGTGCTCGTTGATATTTGAACTGCAATCCCCACAGTTTTCTTCAGACCGTGCTAAAGTGGCATTTATCATCTCTAGGCTCACAGGAAGAGCCTTGGTGTGGGCCACGGCCGTGTGGGACCAACAGGAACCTGTCTGTTCCGACCATGAGGGGTTCATGCAACGGCTAAGACAGGTGTTTGGTCACTCTACTAGCCTGCAGGAGGCTGCGAGGCGCCTCCTGAAGTTACGCCAGGGCCCACGGTCAGTGTCTGACTTTTCGATAGACTTCAGGACCTTGGCAACAGAAAGCGGGTGGGAAGACTCTGCCCTGATGCCCACCTTTTATCATGGCCTTAGCGAGTCTCTTAAGGATGAACTGGTGAACAGGGACTGGGGCAATACCCTTGAGGACCTCATCAGCCTGGCTACCCAACTCGACCGTCGCAAGAGGGAGAGACAGCAGGAGAAGGAGTCCAGGGGCAGTGATGACCACCCGCTAAGGGGTCTTCCACACAGCGTCCCCGAGGGTACCCCAGGCCCGGAGGGGGAAACAGTGCAGCTCAGAAAAACTCGACTGTCCCCTGAGGAACGAGATCAACGAAGGAGGGAGTGGTTGTGCTTTTATTGTGGTAAGGCTGGGCACTACCGGAACAACTGCCCCCATCGGCGGACCAGGGAACAGCCACTGACTGTGAGTACGCTCTTCTGCCCAAACATCTCCCAGCACCAATGCCTGGTACCGGTCACTATCATCGGGAGCAGGGGGCAGGCAACAACCGTTCCTGCGTTGATAGACTCGGGGTCTGCGGGGAATTTTATTAGTCAACGCCTAGTACAACAACTGCAACTAGCTACGTTGCCCTGTTCCCCACCATTATCGATTACCGCCATAAACGATCAGCCCCTTGGGTCAGGCTTCATCTCACAGGTTACCGTCCCGGTTACCCTGGTTGTGGGTGTTCTGCATTCTGAAGAATTATCCCTGTTAGTCATTGACAATGTATCGAACGATGTTATTTTAGGTCTGCCATGGCTGGCTTTTCATGAACCACAAATTTCTTGGAACACTAACGAACTGCTCCGTTGGGGTGACAAGTGTGTCTCTCAGTGTTTGACAAAACCCCTCAGAACAGCCACCATCAGGAGCACAGCCACGGCTGCCACACCAGAGGTCCCCCCGGCCTACCGAGACCTTGCAGCGGTGTTCAGCAAGGCGAGCGCCGAGTGCCTGCCACCACACAGACCATGGGACTGCGCCATTGACTTGGTGCCAGGAGCTACGCTACCCCGAGGTAGGATCTTCCCATTATCTTTACCAGAGTCCCGGGCCATGGAAAAATATGTGGAGGAGGCTCTTGCCAACGGCTTTATTCGCCCATCCACGTCACCTGCAGCCTCAAGTTTCTTTTTTGTAAAGAAGAAGGATGGGGGTCTCAGACCATGTATTGACTACAGGGGGTTGAATTCCGTCACCGTTAAGTACCGCTACCCCCTGCCTTTGGTGCCTGCAGCAGTGGAACAACTGCGAGAAGCTCGGATATATACTAAACTAGATCTCCGCAGCGCCTACAATCTCATTCGCATCAGGAACGGGGACGAGTGGAAAACGGCGTTCCACACGGCAACAGGGCATTACGAGTATCGGGTGATGCCTTTTGGATTAGCCAATGCCCCATCAGTGTTCCAAGCCTTTGTCAATGAAGTACTCCGGGAATTCATAGGCAGGAGTGTAATAGTGTATATTGATGACATTCTGGTCTACTCCACAGATCTGGAGGCGCATGTACGCCAAGTCCTCGACAAACTGCTTGAGAACCACTTGTATGTCAAGCTGGAGAAGTGCGAATTCCACCAGACACAGGTACAATTTCTGGGGTACATAATATCCCCCCAGGGGGTCCAGATGGACGAGGGGAAGGTCAAGGCAGTAATGAACTGGCCCGAGCCCCAGACTATCAAGGAGCTCCAGCGGTTCCTAGGGTTTGCAAACTTTTACAGACGCTTCGTCCG